AGTTTTTTGCATTTTGCATTTTCTTTGACAACTGTGTCAATATTTTCTACCATATCTTCTGCATTTGAGATTCTCTCTTCTATCTCTTGTATTCGGTTGGTGATGCTTACGTCTATGACTCCTGATCTCTTTCTTAGATTTTCTATCTCCATGGTTGTCTCCCTTTGAGCTTTCTTTATTGTTTCTATTTCCATTTTCAGATCCTGAATGTTTTTTGTTTAATTACTTCTTTGTGTTTTCTTGCATTTCTTTAAGGGATTTCTGTGATTCCTCTTTAAGGGCTTCTACCTGTTTACTTGTACTCTCCTGTATTTCTTTAAGGGAGTTACTTAATTCCTTCTTATAATCCTCTATCATCATCATGAGAAGTGATTTTAATTCTGAATCCTGCTTTTCCGGTGTGATGGGGTGTCCAGGGCCTGCTATATTGGGAGAACTGGGTATTGATGATGCCAAGAAACTTTGGTTTCTGTTGCTTATGTTCTTGTGCTTGCCTTTCACCATCTGGTTAACTCTAGTGTTACCTACCCTCACTGTGTAAGACTGGAGTCTGTATTTCCAGTTATCTTGCTTGTGGCAGAGCTCCTCAGAGTCCAGATGTCTCTGTGGTCTTATGATCCTAATCTCCTGGGTGGAAGAACTCCTAGGACTCAGGCCACCTCTTGGATCTGGAAATCCTTCTGCTCTGGGTGCAGTGGTTCCTCTAGGATGGCTCAGGATACAATGTCTCCCAAGTGCAAACCAGCTCAGTGTCTGCTGTTCTGATTGCAGTGGCTCCTCTAGGATGGCTCAGGATTCAGTATTTCCACAGGAGCAGACCAACTCTTTGTCTTCCCTAGCCCAAAGGACCAGGCAGGGGCAGAAGGGAAGTGGAATTCTGGAGGGGTGGGGTTTGGGTAGCTGGTGGGTCCTGAATGTCCCTGGCTCCCAGATGTAACTCTGGGGCTTATGGAGTGAGATGGAGTTCTTACCGGCTGCTCTGAGTGCAGTGGCTCCTCTAGGATGGCTCATGATTTAGTATCTCCACAGGAGCAGACCAACTCTGTGTCTGCCCCAGCCCAAAGGACCAAGCAGGGGCAGAAGGGAAGTGGAATTCCGGAGGGGTAGGGTTTGGGTAGCTGGTGGGTCCTGAATGTCCCTGGCTCCCAGATGTATCTCTGGGGCTTATGGAGTGAGATGGAGTTCTTACCAGCTGCTCTGAGTGCAGTGGCTCCTCTAGGATGGCTCAGGATTCAGTATCTCCACAGGAGCAGACCAACTCTGTGTCTTCCCCAGCCCAAAGGACCAGGCAGAGGCAGAAGGGAAGTGGAATTCTGGAGGGGCCTCATTGATTTTTAAACTCTGCCTGGGTTATTTAATTTTTTCTTGAAAAAGAATTTTACTGCATGGCCCTGGGTAGCCTGGAACTCATGACATAGACCAGGCTGACCTTTAACTCAAACCAATCTGCCTGCCTCTTTTTTTCCAAGTGCTGGGATTAAATACATGTTCCACCATGCCTAGAAATTTATTTTATTTAAAATATTTTTAAAATTTATTTTTATTTATACCATGTGCATTCATACCAAAAAAGAAAGTGTCAGATTTACTGGAACTAGACTTATAGGTGGTGTGTGCCACGTGATAGGGTTGCTAGGAACTGAAACATCTCTTCAGTCCCTCGTATAATTTGTATTAACTATTCTTTTCTTTTATTGTGTTTTCTCTTCTATTCACTTCTGTTTTCTGACATTTTCTGGAAATCATACTGATTGAAATGATTTCCAGTCAGTGAAGAATGTAAGCATAAACCCTTTAAGGAAAGTTTCTGATTTACTGATCAAAGCGCAGGTCCTGAATTATGATCTTTTGTTTTTCATTAGTGGATGGCACCTAATGCTTTTGCAAAACTTGTTTATTCTTCACCACTTAACAGGATGTTGCATGACCAAACCTGAGGTGATCTTCAAATTGGAGCATGGATTTGGGCCATGGCCTGTGATAGAATCCTCTGTCTGCAGCCTTCCAGGTCAGTGAATGCATACTGAGTGAGCAAAAGTGGACAGCAAGAGGATAGTTCACCATATTGGTCATGTTGAATGCTTCCTACCAACTTACCTAGCCCTGACCCAGACTCTTCATTTTTGGAGTGTCTGGAAAGAATTAGCTGTGTCAACCCATCACCTAGTTTTTGGTTGTTTCTGATATGTTTTCCTGGTATGAAAACATGCAAGTCTTTAGCTGAATGATGCCCTACTGCTGACAGATACCATTAACGAGGCCAGTTATCAATCAACAAACAGCGCCAAGTGATAAGGTGAGAACAGCAGACTTAGATTAGACCCTAGTAACACACCCAAAGCTACCACACTTGGTTGACTCCTAATAGTACTCTCAGAGAAGACAGATAAAAATGCCTACCCACTTCAACCTCTGTACTTGATGGTTAGTGTTTTTACTCTATTGCTTTTTGATTCAGTTCTTCTCTGTTTATATATTTTTCTTACTTGCAGGCTTATATCTTTGTATTTTTCATTTTTCCAGATTCATTATCTCCTGTGGTTTTCTGTTTCCCTTTTGTGGATTTCTTTTCATTTTTATTTTCCTGTTACCTAACCCTCTTCCACTTTCCTTATCTGTCACTGTTTCATTTTTATTATCTCTTATACATTTCTTCTTTTTGTTTGTTTGTTTGTTTGGTTGGTTGGTTTTTCAAAATAGTGATTGTGTTGCTTTAACTCTCCTAGAACTGTCTCTATAGACCAGGCTGGCCTTGAACTGAGAGAGAGCCACCTGCCTCTGTATCCCAAGTGCTGGGACTAAAGGCATGCCCCAAGAGGCCTAGCTGTCCATAAAGGCTCTTAAACATTACCTACAAGTAATAGGTTATATAATCAATATAGCAAATCTGGGGCTTTTCCTCCCTTCCTTTCATGGTAAGAATAAGTTCTATGTCTTATATGTACCAGCCAAGCTCAGTAATCCTGAGATAAGTCTTCAACCAAGACAGTACCATTTTTTTTTTTTTTTAAACAGCATCTCATGCAGCCCATGAATTTTGACCTCAAAATACTATCTTGACCTCAACTTTACTATCTTGGGGAGGATCACCTTGGATTTCTGAGATGCGTACCACCCTGGATAATTTATATGGTGCTGGGGATTTAAACTCTGTGTGTGCTGGGCAGACACTCTACCAACTGAGTTTCAGCTTAGATACCTTATATTTCAGTATCTTTTCTACATATGAATATTGTACATGGTGAGAAGGAAGTGAAGAAAAAAAAGTAATTTAAAATTTCGTCCAAGTAACCCTAAGCCACCTAGGAATATGCTAAATAGTATGTACAATTAAACCTGTAACAGTGGTGAAAATGAGTTTAGCGTTCTGGCTCAGTAGATGAAGAGGCTGTAGTTCAGTCACTGACACCAGTATGGTAGAAGACAACAGACTCCTATGGGTTTGATCTCTGACCTTCAGACATGTGTGGTATGTGTGCACTCTCACATATAGACAAATAAATAAATATAACTTTTTAAAAGGAAATTGAGGAAGACAATGGATAATTAAAGATGTCACATGTTCATATATTAATACAATTAGTTTGGTCAAAATGTCTTTAATTTTTAAGATGATGATGATGGTGGTGATGATGATTGTATAGGCCTACTGTGTGTGGGAGGGCCAAGTGTGCCACAGCATGTATGTGGAGGTCAAAGGCCAACTCTGTGGAGTTTTTTCTTCCAACTTTATGTGGGTTCTGAGGATGGAACTCACAGTGCCAGGCTTGCATAGCAAGCATCTTTTCCAAATGAGCCATCTAGCCAGCCCCTAAAATACTCTCTTAATGAAAGCTATACACACACATTCAGTGTACTACCAGAAATGATAACGTATTTTCTAGAAAACAGGAAAATATAAACATGAAATTGTCTTATAGAAGTAATACAAACTAGCCAATGGACTCTTATAGAAAAGGTGATGCTGAACTTATCCCTATACCTTCTTTCAAATAATGCTACAAGAGCCATATGAACAAAATAGCAAGCTGTTGGCAGAAACTTTTAGCACAGACCTTGTAATGGACCTTCCCAATGATCCAAAAGTATATCACAGAACTTTAGCCATCTTTTTCTCAGTAATATTACCAAGAAGTTGTTTCAACAAAAGGACTTTAAAAGATGATTCTGTAAAAAGAATATATCCACACACAAAAAAAGACTGAACCTAGGCAGCTATTTCTTACACTGTACATATGGAACAGAGACCTTAACAGGAGGCCTTTAATCTTGAAGCAGCTGGAGAAATTCATGCAAACTCAATTGCATATACCATGTGTGTTGACTTTTTGTTTGTTTGTTTGTTTGTTCGTTTTTTTGAGACAAGGTTTCTCTGTGTAGTCCTGACTGTCCTGGAACTCACTCTGTAGATCAGGCTGTCCTGGAACTCAGAAATCCACCTGCCTCTGCCTCCCAAGTGCTGGGATTAAAGGCATGCGCCACCACCGCCCGGCCCGTGTGTTGACTTCTGAATAGAATGTAAACAGCTCTGGAATATAGATCTAGCAGGGCTTGGTGGGTCATGCCTGTAACCCCCAAAGTGAGAGGAATTCAAGGTCATTCTCCAAACAATAATGTTCAAGGATAGAATGTGTTAGATGAGACATGGCTGAAACAAAAACAACTACATCAACAAAAAAATGAATACATTGTAAACTTAAATTTTCTAACCAGCAATACCCAGGGTGGAGATGCACCATATAGATAAAAAATATGTTTGCCAGTATAGGATTAATATTATGAATATATGAAAAAAGAAACCATACACACAGTTGGTGATAATAGAGAATTATTTACCTGCTATGGAGTTTTCAGATGTGAGACATAGAACAGCTGTATGCTGCAAGTATGCCATCCTAGGTAAATGCATGATGAGACCATGGTGCAGTGGCTGCCCTTAAAGACCTGTGCTCACAGTAACAAAGATATCATTCTCAGTGCTCATCATTGGATTTATCAAAAAGATGATGCAAAGTTCAGATGTATTTTTAACTGAAAAGAATCAGATTGTGCTGGGCATGGTGGCACACATGCAGCATGAAGTCAATAAATTTATTATATTATTCAAAAGAACTGAGAATGTTTAATGTTTACTGAGAATGTTTTCATAAGGCAATATTATTTTATACTTTCCATGAGGATAAGAAAACACACTTTTTTTTTTACATTTGAGTTACATGAAAAAGATTTCAGAATTATTCATGTATAGTGATATTTTTAATATTATTTTAGGTACTCATAAAAAGCCTGCCTGGAATGAGACTGACCAGGAAAATCACAAAGGATATTTGTGGCAAGTTGAAATTGCCAACACCAAGACATCAAATGACAAAATTGTTGAAGTAAGTAAAATATTTAACATGAACTCTTAACATATTTCAGATCTAAACACATATGTTGGAAATTACTTAGTAATGTTTCTTCAAGAACTTAACCCAAATCAAGAAGATGGCTCAGCGTGTAACAGGACTTGTGGTGGATAATGAAGAAAACCCCTGAAACTTGTTTTCTGAACTTCATGTGTGTGCCCTGGTGTGAGTATGTACACATGCACAAACAGAGATGTAATTTGAAAAATAAAAGAAAGTAACTCAGGCCTGGGAAGATTGTTTACTTGTTAAAATGCTTGATGTATGAAAGCATGAGGTCTTCAGTTTGGATCCTCATCCACCATCTATAAAGCTAGTTTGGACAACATGTGTCTTTAACCAGTGCGATGAAAATAAGAAAGATTGGGATCACTGGGGTTTGCTGGCTATCATTCCTTCCAAGCTAGGTAGCTTCAGATCTATTGAGAGACCTGATCTCAAAAAATAGAGTAAATAGTGGTTTATGAAGATGCTGAACATCAACCTCAGTAACCTCACACATGCACACACATGCACACAGAGATACATTTAAACGTGTGTATACACAAATGTACCTTCCTATACAATTAGAAAGGAACCCATAGCCTAGTGTTGTTCTGTATTGTGTAGCTATTAAGAGCCAGTGGGAGAAGAATGTGATACGTTTAATAATAATAGAAAATTATTCTGACATGATCAAATTTATATACCAAAAACTCAGTCAAAGTTGAAGATAGTGTTTTCTATATGTTTGACCATTGATATTGTTTTAAATAAAGACAGTGAATATTATTTACAAATAAAATTTCATATTAAAGAGATCGTTGATAAACTCCATAAATATTTGAAATTTTGACATATTCCAAACCAAAATCAGAAAGCATATTCTAGGGAAAAGCCCCGTTGCTGTATGAAATATATAACTAATTCCTCTCGTTCAAGGCAGACCTGAAGGTGGCACGGAAGATCCAACAAGGGACAAAATCCTGTGAAGATAAAGAATGCGTGAAGGCATTTATCCAGGAGTCACAGCACACGAGGAGTCAGATAACATGTAAGAAAAGCATCCGTTATAAGTCACCTCTCAATAACTGTCAGAGGCTTCTTAATGAGGAGACACTGTATACACAGAGACAGTGCAGGAGGTCACACCTGGCAGAACATCAGAAAAGTCTCGAAGGGGAGAAGCCATATGAAAGCTCCGGATATGGGAAAGCTTCCCACACCAAGTCTCAGCCTCAGAACACTCACAGAGACGAGAAGCCCTACCAATGTCTAGAATGTGGGAAATATTTCTACTACAAGTCACAAATCATTGAGCATCAAAGAAGTCATACAGGAGAGAAGCCTTATAAGTGTACAGAATGTGGAAAATCTTTTGGCTATAAAGCACATCTCACTATACATTCCAGAAGTCACACAGGTGAGAAGCCTTATCAATGTACAGAATGTAGAGAATTTTTTTACTGTAAGTCGCAACTCACAAAGCACCAGAAAAGTCATACAGGGGAGAAGCGCTATGAATGTGTGCAATGCCCCGAAGCTTTCTACTTTAAGAAACAACTCGCTCATCATGAGAAAACTCATAGTGCTGAAAAGCACTTTAAATGTAAATAGTGTGGAAAAGCATTTTACTGCAAGTCCCACCTCACTGTGCATCAGAGAACTCATATAAGTGAAAAACTCTATCAACGTTCACAGTGCAGGAAAACATTCTACTCTCAGACACAGCTTTCTGTGCATCAGAGAATTCACACTGATGAGAAGCCCTATGAATGTAAGCAATGTGGAAAAACATTCTACAGCAAGTCTGGGCTTCCTGCACATCAGAAAACTCATACGGGTGAGAAGCCCTATGCATGTAAAGAATGTGGAAAAGCATTCTATAACAAGTACCTGCTCATTGAGCATCATAGAGTTCACACAGGTGAGAAGCCCTATCAATGTACAGAATGCAAGAAAGCATTCTACTGCAAAAAAATACCTTTCTCTACATCAGAAAACTCACGCAAGTGAGAAGTCATTTCATTGTGCAGAGTGTGGAAAAGCTTTCTCCTGGCTGTCACACCTGACTCAACATCAGAGAATTCATACAGGGGAGAAGCCCTATGCATGTGAACACTGTAGAAAGACTTTCTACTTCAAGAAACAACTCACTCGACATCATAGAACACACAAGAAGTCATGAGGTGTAAATAATGCAGGAGACCATTTCACTGCAAATATAACCTCTGTGTATGAAAAAACTCAAACAAGGGAGAAACCCTGTGGTGAGTGTAACAGATACAGAAAATTTTCTCCCTCATACATACCTTACTCCAAGTCAGATGTGAAAGCCTAAGAGTGTAAAGAATGTATGAACTCTTACTTAAGTGCATAATTAGAAAGCTTGTAAGTGAAAATGATTAATGTAAAAACTGTAAGTCAGGTGTTACTGAGCCAGTGAACATATACTGGAGTCTGCCTGCAAACCTTGCTGGAAGGCATGTACCACATATACTGTCAGTGAGAGAATTCATGCTTAGGGCTGTCTCCTATGAAGTGGACAACTGTACAAAAGCTTTCTCATTCTTCCAATTACTTCAGTATATTGTAGGTGAGTAACTCAGAATGTAAAGAACAGAGGAAAGCTTTCTAACATTAAGCCCCATCAATTCACACCTAAAAGCTTTTACTGATGTGGGCCCCAGTGAAATTGATGAAAATAGACACATTTTGAGACAGAAATTGGGCCTCTGCAGTTGCAACCTCTTATGTGATATGCCAAGTAGAGCAAAAAGCATAGTGAGATATAGTATTTCATGTTTTCAGTTCTAAGTTCTGATACTGCAGGTCTACTGGGACCCAGTGATTGAAGATTGAACTTAGCAACATAGACAGATTCCATCTGATAAAAAGCTGCAAAGCCTTTTTGAAATTCCCCGTGTCAGATTATGACATTGTGACCCATGTGTTTAAAACCCTAAGAATCTAAAGAGTGCCAAAACTTTTGAAGCAAACTTAAAATTTATCTGACATCAGAAACCCAAAAGAGGTGATTAAACAGAGGATTCTTGTAGCAGGATATCTTCCCTGCTACATTTGCAATAAGCTCGCTAATGTGGGAGAAGTGAAGAGTGGAAAGGAAAAGGAAGAGGAGAAAGAGGAGGAGCTGGGAAGAACTGGAGGGAAGAGAGAAAATGGCGGCGGATGTCTGAGTGTCTCTAGCAGTCTAAGGTAGCAACTTACCAAAAGGTTAGATATTGGATAGCAACTCTAATTGTGTGGGCATCTTGTTATTTGAGCATTTTCAAATATATAAATTTTGGATGATCTTTAAACATTGGGAGTCTCATTTCTACCGGGTACCCCGTGGATTTTGGGGCATTATCAGGGGCTCCAGCCAAGCTTTGTGGAGACACCATGGTGGATTGGCAGAGCCAGCCACCACGCTGGCATGTAATGGATCTAGTTGTGGTGAGCTTTGCTTCTGGCCGAGGAACATGGTAGCCTGAGCTAAGCAGAGCAGAGCCACCTTTGGGATAGCTGGGTCGTGCAGGGGCTTTCTAAATATTACCTGATACAGATTCCACTATGAAAACCTACTTCCATAGTCCGTGTGACTTTTTTTTTTTTTAACAAGAATTTACCAACTAACTATTCATAGTGTAAGAATTCTAGAAATGGCATCCAGCCATGCTCCCACAGTACCAACCATCAGATACCTCATGAAAGTGAGAACACAATTGAAGTTTACAGATTAACTTGTCTTAAACATGGCTCAGTGGCAGTGCGCTCATCAGTCTTGTGCTGTGTGTCTACACATAGAACTTTCCCGTGTCATCTTGATTTAGGATATTCTTGTTCATGTTTGTTTGTAAATCAGTTCTAACTGTCCACAAGATTTAGCGCCTCATCAGGCATGACAAATTTAAATGTGTTTACATTTTTTCTTTTTTAATTTATTCTTTTATTGGGTATTTTATTTATTTGCATTTCAGATGTTATCCCTTTTCCTTATCCCCCCCTCAAAACTCCCTATCGCATCCCCCTTCCTCCTGCACCCACTCCCACCTCCCCGCCCTCAAATTCCCCCACACTGGGGCATCCAGCCTTCATGAGACCAAGGACCTCCTCTCCCACCGATGCCTGACAAGGCCATCCTCCAGTACATATACACCTGGAGACATGGGTCCCTCCTCTCAGGCTGGTGGTTTAGACCCTGGGAGCTCTGGTTGGTTGGTTGGTATTGTCGCTCTCCCCATGAAGCCGCAAACCCCTTCGGCTCCTTCAGTCTTCTAACTCCTCCAAAAGGCCCATAATATCTCCAAATTTTTTTCAGTTCTTTTGGAGGACTGCTGGATTTTCCTGTGTTGGTGCCTAATTGGACTGATGCTGATTAACTGGGATCTTTTCAAATATACCAGATTGGGGGCTGGAGAGCTGTCTCAGTGTTTAACAGCAGTGGCTGCTCATTCAGAGGACCCATATTTGATCCCTAGGACACACACAATGGTCTACAACTCTATAAATACAGTTTCAGAGGATCTTCTTGCCTCTGTGGGCATCAGGTATGCGGGAGATACAGACATATATACAAGCAAAACACTTGTAAAACCTTACAATTAAAATTTGCAATCCTATTACTCCTTTCAGCACTGTATAGCTAAATACAGACATCTCTTTCCTTATGTCTCTTCCTCTTGTCAGTTGAGGATTCAGTCTTGTCATATATTGAACTTTTAAGCCAGGCCTCTGTATTAAGGCCATCAGCCACATAAAATAGTCCATTATCATGAGCAACAGTAATTATTCTATGACATACGACACAAAGAAAATATTTTTTACAACACCCTTAATGACCACACAACATTGAATCAGGTACTATCAATGTACCTGACAAAACTCTTAAGTAAAAAATCTCAGTTTCATCAACATGAAGACTTGCTTATGTTGTACCTATATTTGAAGGGTTTGTAGCGCCTTTAAAACTCTCAAAATTGTCTCCCATGAGCTGGAGAGATGGCTCAGCATTAAAGAGCACTGGCTGCCCTTCCATAGGACCCAGGTTCAATTTGCAGCACTCAGATGACAGCTCACAACTGTCTGTAAGTCCACTTCCATTTGCCATGCGTGCTCACAGCAGGGGTTTAAAATATAGCTCAAGCAGTTCTACCTATATAGGAAACAGCCTTTGAACAGGAATCTAACTTCAGTCCTTCTTTGGAGTGGTCTGATATTCTACTATTTCTTTTGTGACCAAACATGTTCCTTTTCTGCAGTGACTAATCATGTGCTTTAAAAAAATTTATTTGTTCAGATCTATTGGCTACATACAGGTGTACCACATACTTTCCTGGTGCATTTGAAGGCCAGAAAGGGGCATTAAATTCCTTGAAACTGAATTACCATCAACTGTGACCCATCATGTAGGTTCTAGGAATTGAACCCAGGGTCCTTTGAAACAGCTAGTCTGATCTAACTGCTAAGATAACTACTCTTCAACCTAATAACCACTTTTTTCTTAACTTTTACATTGCCACATGTCTTAGTTACTTTTCTGTTGCTGTGGTAAAACATCATGACTGCCAGAGCACAGCTGCAGCAGGGTTGTGGGCAGCAGGACAGATGTGTGGAATGAGCAAACATAAAGAGTCTGATGACGACTATTTGTCTTTAAAACAGATGCCCCCACACCCTGGGATAGCTCAAACTGTCTTTACACAAGTTCAACACATTCAAGCATAAGCAGTTTCAATTCATTTATCTTTAATTATTTTACAAGAATCATTAACATTTACCCATTTGGGTTTCTTTTCCCTTTCTCCACTCCTATGTCATCATTAGTTGTCCTTTATTCCATATCTCAACATTAACCTTTATTTCATATCTAAGCATGGACTTTATATTTCAAGCCATATGATTATATCTAGCCAGACATCTTCTGTTAGATCTGTGCTGCTAGCATACATGAGGTTACAGATATGATTAATATTTAGCAGTATGATGCTTTTAAATTTTTGTAGTCAGAAGGGAATGTGGTGCCCTACATAGAATATTTTTCAGATGTAAATCTAATTTCTGTGCCCTACATATTTTTGTGTGAACAGTAGTTGTGGTCCTATTTTTCATACATTCTCAGAATGGTAATGATTAATACCTAACTCTTTTTTTTTCCTTCGACACAGGTTTCTCTGTATAGTCCTGGCTGTCCTGGAACTCACTCTGTAGACCAGGCTGGCCTCGAACTCAGAAATCTGCCCACCTCTGCCTCCCAAGTGTTGGGATTAAAATACCTAACTCTTAACTATGGGGACCAAGTTCTTATTCTTCCTGGCAGTTTCTGCATGTACTTTTTGCCTCCAAGGAGAATGGGAGATTTAGATTCCTATGTTGATTTTCTGGCATTGGACGTTTTATGCCCTTTATTCTGCCCTTACATATTTTAAAATGCCATGCCCCAGTCCTGGCAGTTCTTCTTTCTTGTTTGGTTCTTCTTGAATCAGTGAAGGGAAAGAGCAAAAACAGGGGTAAGACTTGGTCTTAGGATATATTTAGATTGCTGTATAATAAAATGTTTATCTATTTCAAGTCTAAGTCACTTTGCCTCAGTTACTGACCTGCCCTCTGAGACTGAGAAGCTGTTTAGCATGTCATCATAAAACAGTAGGGAATTAAGTAATGTAGTCTTTGTTCTATCTTCCAGCCTGCTAGTTGAAGTCAAGGAAGAAAAAAGGACACTTTGAAAAGTGATTTTAGCTTTTATTTCTGAGTTCTAAAATGTTTCCTATGAAAGCTCTCTAAGAAAAAGGAGAAAGGGGCTTCTAAGGAGGATAAGGGTTCAAGAAAAAGGGGGATAAGGATATCTAAGAAAAGGGGACTAGGGGTTCTCTTTGTCCTCAGCACATATACCCCTTTCAGAATACATGATCATATGTAAAAAGTTCATCACAAGTTTATGCATATACTCAAATCATAAGTCGAATAAGGAGTTTACAACAGAGAATGTTTATGCACATATCCATTAGGACTAATTATCTGGCTAAACATTCATCATCTGTCCCTAACTATAGGTTCATGGAGAGTTGGAAACCATAACATTTGTGAGTAAGTTATTAGTGAAGTTTTGTATAGATAAACCTAGTCAATATTTTCTCTTCTGTCCTTGAACCTATAGTAAATGGTAGTTCCCTTTTTATGACCTTTGGT